TTTTTTTTTTTTTGTGAACTTAGCGTTGTAATGTAGCGAATTTTCACTAATGCTGCTACATGCCTTATTGTTCTTCTTTTTTTACGCCTTCATATCTTGATTATCGAATAAACATTTGTTCTCCTCGTCTTTTTGCATATGACACCAAAGTCAAATTGCAAAATGATACCGGTTAAGTAAACTATTAGAAGTACACAAAATTCAGTTAAGTCGCAGTGGAACGACTGTTGGTGATGTGCCATATCCGTTTCGAGGTGGATGCTGCCAACAGGTTTTTGATGAACGAAATAACAATCTTCCTTTGACAACTCACTTGACAAATAAAAATTAACAGTTCTGGAGTAGAGTAGCGGTGCAAAAATAAATCAGTCGATAGTGAAAGACGGTTATTTTGAAGCTGGCAAAAGTCCAGAATGACGTTGCGACTGTCATCACTTTGTTGGATACTATTAGGGCGCTTGTCAGCCGGTCATTTAACTCTCAATGCATTGTAAAAGGATCTCTTTATAGATGTTCGTACACCTGTCCCTCTGAGAGAGTCTCTGTTTTTCCTTTTTTATCGCTGATAAACTAAGGTGTTAAATTTGGTTTTTTTCCTGTTACGTCTAATGCCATAGGATGAAACAATGGTACCTTCCGTAGTTTCTGTAACTGGTCAAGCACGTCGGATATTCACTAACCTGTTAAGTTGGAGATATATTGGTGGCTGTAACACGTAAAGCAAATGATCAGTTCTGTTACCTGAAATTTTGTATTGTAAGTGTTGCTTCTAATTTACTTCGACTTATCACCGCTAAGACTATGAATGTTCATTTAACTTTACTGGTGTCATTGGTCTACTTAAACTTTTTTGCGGAAATGATACTGTTCTTATTTTCGCGAATCCGCTGTATTAAAAATAGCTAAAATTTTTCATTGAATTACTTTTTCTGTCACTCTAACAGTTTAGTCTGATATTCAGTCAAAATTTCCATTTTCTTAATTAAAAAGAAAGCACCAGAAGCTATTTGGATAAACAAACTCACATAGAAAAAAATCTTTTTTCTGCAGATGTAAAATTTACTAGGGAAATGGAATTATTCCCATGGTATATTGTTAACAGCACTGCAATGCTTTTTAAGCTTACAGAAATGAGTATGAATAACGTTCTTATATGTTAGATGGATTACGGTTGTTTTTTTTAGCTAGTAGATAAACAGACAATATATTTTTATACTAACCGTATAATGGGTCATTCTAAAACAGTTTTGCTGCTTTCCCAGCTTATTTTTGTAACTGGGATTAAAAGCTGTTGAAGAATAAAAGACATTGGTGATTTGATTAGACAGTTTTGAGGCGTTCTTATAATTTGTAGTACGACAGAATCTTGAATGAAATTTTTTAAATTGTTGATGTTTGGGCAACAGAATTTAAATAATCGCTGTCCTTCTGTGCAATTTAGAAGACAGCACAGGTTTAAGTGTCTTTATGTGTCAAGTGACTATATAAAGTATGACATCTTTTTGTCGTTTTTCCTTTTTTTTTCATTTTTGCCAAGTTAAGCTGAGTTTTTAACATCCGGAATTTGCGAATCTCACTGTCTATTATTCCACTGCAGTATATTTATTTCTAGTTTATTCATAAATGACTTATAAATGTTCTTATGCTGCATAGATGATGGAAAGTTTTATGAGTCTTCGTAAGGAGACGACAGATCTTTTGGCAAAGAAAACTGCTAACTACGCGCTGCCGGATGATGAACAGCCAGGTAAGGTCTTATTAATTATTTGCTACAGAATGAGCGAAAGGCTTCTGAAACTTAGTATTTGCTCCTCGAAGTTTTTTTATCGTTAGATATTACAGTGTATCATAGCACTTTTACCTCAATTTCTGTTTTATTTCGAGACTCGTGTGCAAGTACGTAACTGTTTTTTTTTTTTAAGTCTTGGGACAGATGGTACTTGCGAGTTGCTAAGTCAAACTTTTTGAATGGTAGATTAGTTCACCTGAAGGTGATAAGAATGTGAATTATAAAGTGTTTTTCTTTGGAGAAACAGTTCTGCTTAAAGTTTCTCTTCCATTTTCTTCTCGTTTTGAAAGTTGTCAGCCAACGTCTTTTCTAATGACGACTGTTAAAATCTTTAAAAAATTCATCTTCTGGCTCCAATTCGGACCATGCGGGCTTTGAATGCATTTGAGAATTTGAATAATTTTTGTGTTTATAGCAGTCATAGAAAGATGATGAATCTATCATTTCTGTCTGCTAGTAAGTGGAAAACGCGAAAGCAACTGAAACTTTCATCATTTTTGCACTCTAATTTAAAAATTCGGAAACTGCGCAATCCTGTAAATGAGGCGTTTCTGCTGTGCAATTCGAAGTTGTTATCTAAATTTTGCTTGAATTACCTCAAGAAATCAAACTACGCAGAGCAAAAATTGACATCGAGAATACACCGGGAAATACCGGGTTTTTTAGATCCTCAACTCACTGCTTTCCAATCGAATTGTTGTTTACTATTCGGCTACGATCTGAATTTTCTGGCTTTAAGGCAATTAAGGACAAAATTTCTAAGCTCAAACATGTACTCATCTATGTGCTTCTTTTTTAGTTACCTTGGAAACTTCTGATCCGGAAGGTGGAGTCAGCATAAATAAATCTGAAGGGCTAGAAGAAAGGGATTATGCTGCAGATGAACTCTTCAGGTTTTTG